AGTATTAGAGGCACATAAAGAAAATACATATTTCAGGCTTTGAGGTCGAAAGGGAATTTTTATGTACAATCAGATGAACTTAAAAGGTGATCTGCTGATCTCTGAAGTTTAAAGAGATACTCCACAGAGAGTTTTAACATACTTAATAACAGAAATTGCCACTGGTAGCCATCCTGAAGGTCATTTTGTTTTGACATCTATCAAATTACACAATCATGAATTTTGGTACAAAGCATAATGCTGTCAAACTTAAATAGAAATATTCCAGAATGTGGAGTGGTGTGTTGTTTTTTGAGGTAAATGGGCCCCATTTACATTAGTTCTTTGATGTTAAATTCCTTGCTGCACATCAGAGAACAGTTGCTTCTTCCCTGGAGCAAGTTTTCTTTCTTCTTTTTCCCCCACCCTTTGATTTTTTCCCTCTTTTTTTTTCTTTTTTTTCTTTTTCTTTTTCCTTTTTTTTTTTTTTTAGTTTGCTTACACTTTTATCTAACTAATTATGGAGGATCAGCTTATGTATGGCCACATTTATCTAGTTGCAGGCATTTTGAGAAATGATTCTTTCAATAGCTGGTGCCCTGAACAGAAAAGTTCTTCAATTTGCTTTACTATTAGTAAATAGTAAATTTAATAGTAAGTATATATATATATACACATATGTAAAACCCTCTAGTGAGAGTTATGAAGGTAGGGAATCATGGAATCATTTAGGCTGGAAAAGACCTTTAGGGTCATTGAGTCCAACCATAAACCCAACCATAGCCCACCACTAAACCATGTCAGAGAATCATGGAATGGTTTGGGTTGGAAGGGACCTTAAAGCTCATCTTGTTCCACCCCCTGCCATGGGCAGGGACACCTTCCACTAGCCCAGGTTGCTCCAAACCCCATCCAACTCCAACTAGAACTGAAAGTCCCCTCAAATACACCTTATACCTTAAAAATAGAACATAAATACTTTGTAATTAAGGTAGAACAAGTTGTGCTTTTGCGGTGTGGTCCCATCACAGATCCTTTGCTCTTTTGTTCTTAGTAATTCTGCTCATTTTCATGAAAGGAGAAAATGAAAAAGGGGCTGTGTTAGAGTAGCACCCACTCATTCAGACACCACATCTGATGTGCTGATGCCATTTTTAATTTTTATGTGAAATGTTTTGTTGAAGCCGATGCAGTTTTGCTCAGCAACCACAATATGATGCTTTAAGGCTTGTTAAAGAATTATAGTTGGTTTTTTAAACTAATTAACTGTAACAAGGACATAATCTTTTTAATGCAAAAGTCCTCACTCTGTAATATAAAATAACTGCATGTAAAATTGCCATAATCAGATAATTTTAGCTAAAATATGTATTAACTGTGTGAAACTAAACAGAAGTTAATTTTTGAATCAGTGGCATTCCTCTATGGCTTATCCAATTTAAACCCTTTTCATTACAGAAATGGGTATTACAATGGATGCTTCTGACAAGTTTTTGCCAAGTGGGAATTTCAGGAGCCACCTTTTGCACACAGAAAACCGGTTTCAGGCCATTAACTGTATTTGCAGCGCTGCCCATTGCTATAAAAAGAGTTGGGCTTTAATGAAGACTGGCTGACCCTCCAAATGTTCACCTTGCACTTGGGTCCTTATTCATTATGTTTCTGAAATAGCAATAACCTGAAAGGGAAGGAATGCCCTTAAAATAATACGGGAGCAACTTGTGAGCCGAGCAGCCGGTTGGAAAAGCAGGAGCCCGGGAAACTGCTGCGTGTGTGCACCAGGCCAGGGTGAACCTTCTCACCTGTCAAGATAAATGGGATATAAATCCTCCCCAGAGCTCACTGCACACAGCCATGTGTGTGTTTACTTTGCTGGAACTCATTCCTTAAAATAAAAAGAGTAAACAGGTAGGGGTTTGGGTGTAGCAGGGCTGCACGTGCCCTGGGGAAGGAGGTTTGTGCCTCCACGTGGCTGTGCAGCAACAGCCCGTGTGAAGAGGGATTAAATTAGTTTAGTTGCAGGTTTTTAAGAAGGAGAAGCTTCATATTTCTGCAGTAAAAGACAGAGTGGGAAAGAGGGCTCCCAGGCATCCCCAGGAGCTGGATCTCTTCAGCTGAGCAGGGCTGTAACTCTGCCTTCTGCAGAGCTGTGCTGGTGCTGCTCCCCTGGGTTGTGATGATGCAAGACCTGTCGGGTGTTACAGGTCTCAGAGGAAAGCTGGAGTCAGCAGCAATCACAGGAAGGTTTGGATTGAAAGAACCTTAAAGCTCATCCCATTCCACCCCTTACCCTGGGCAGGGACACCTTCCACCAGCCCAGATTGATCCAAGCCCCATCCAACCCGGCCTCGGACACTTCCAGGGATCCAGGGGCAGCCACAGCTTCTCTGGGCACCCTGTGCCAGGGCCTGCCCACCCTCCCAGGGAGGGATTTCTTCCCAATATCCCATCCAACCCTCCTTCAGCTTAAGGCCATTCCCTGTTGTCCTATTGCTACATGCCCTTGACAAGTCCCTGTCCAGCCTTCCTGTAAACCTCCTTTAGGTACTGGAAGGGAGTGCTCGTAGGTTTTAGTGCCACAGAGCTGACATAGCCAGTTTTAGACAACTGGAGCCAATCCTTGTTCAATCTCCAGTGGAAGCTTTGGGAGCTCAATACCTCTGAAATGTAGACCCCTCAAATAGGGATGTTTGGGACTGCAAGTGAATGCAAGAATTTGTGGTTTGTTGATGACTGGGAGACAGCTTATAAATATTTTGCTAATTGGAATTTGTTATAGCCATTGTAAAATAAAATGTTGCAACTCCCTTTAAGTAAACGGGTGGGAATAAAACACTGAAATTCGGTGTTTCTTTCCTTTGGATCACCTCTGTCATGTCTCTCAGAGGTCAACCTGGTTCTACTCAGTGTGAACAAACAAATTCTAGTTTGTTTATGGAAGTTATGAGTGGTTTTTTTATTATTTATTGGGATTTCTTCTCTGGGTTCAGGAGGTTATGAAGCTGCTTCTATGAAAGATGAGGACTTTTACCCCAGGCAAGCTGAGCGAGAGCAGCTGTAACGTGATCTGTGCAGTGCCTTGCTGGGGAGTGTCTCTCCCTTTCTGGGAGTAACAGTAATTTATACTATTACTGTAATTTCTTTTTTGCTTTTTTCCCCTCTAAAGATAAACTGGCAGTTTTGGTCACTTTGTTGTGCAGTGGTGGTAAAACATCATCTAAAACTGGATGGCAATGCAATAGAAGAGTGTTAACATTGGTCATCTGAGTACAAAGAGAAATGGAGCTGGACAGAGCTCTCTGGGTTAACTGCTGTGTCACCACTCGTTTTATTTATGCACTCCCATGATTTGCCCTCACAGTGTTTGTGGCACACTTTGAATGACGAGTGTAGAGAAAGCGAAATTTAATTTGTCTGGCGCTCCAGAATTCTTCTATATGCTGTTTTAAACCAATAAGTTCTCTTTATAATGAAAAAAACGTGAAATATGTTCTCAGAAATGGTGGCAAATTATTGAATTATGGTGGTAAATTATCAAAATTTGTAATTGATAAGTGAAGTTTGGTAACTGAATGGATTTCTCAGTAATTTGAGTAGATTCCTTAGTACCAACAAGCAGATGAATTAGAGACGTCCGTGTGTTTCATAATCTTGGAATTTGAAGGGATTCAAGATCTTCAGTTGCACATCATGTGAAGTTGAGGATTCCTTTGAACTGGCTGTAATATACTTACATTAAGCTGCACCTTACAGAGCTGCCCGGATTGCAGGGGATCATTCCAGCCCCACCACGGCGATTCGCAAACACTCTGCAGCCTTAAGCTCCTAAATTTATAGCCCAGTGAAATCAGTAAGACTGTTTGCTCGACTGAAGTCCCTGGGGGTTGCAGAAATGGAGTTTGGATCTTAAAACTGGATCCAGGCAGGGTTGAGAGGCTTTGGGGTCCCCCCCAGAGTCACGGGGCAGCGGCGGGAGCTGTGTTTGGGTGCTGGATGCTGTGCCGGAAAACTAAGGACGACAGATCAAAGGTTTGAGCAGGAGGTCAGATAGGTTTTGAAAACTTAATCAGCTTAAATTTGCTTCAGAACTCAGCTGCGTAATGTTCTGTCCCCCCTAAGAAAATATTTGTCTTAGACACCTGTCCTTGAGTTTTAGAGCCAAGAAGACGAGAGCGCTCAGCAGTTCACCTGAGGACAGCGTGGTGGGGCTGGGCTGGGCTGGTTGCTGCAGGAAAAGTACAAGTCAGAATTCTGTCCTGAAATGAAATTGAATTCATTTTTTTATTAATATCATTATTATCGAATTATCTCTGCAATTAAATTACTTTTTGGGGAAAAAAAACCCCACGTTAAGAGCTATTTTTCCTGCAGTTATTGAAATACTGGCTTGTTGGATTGTGATATGACAAAGCAGCCTTGTTCTCTGTTTGTTTTATTCTTTGAGTTGTGAAAAAAATGGCAGGAGAAGGGAAAGAGCTGTATGTCCAAGAGCTGGTTCAGCTGCATCCTGGGTTGATTTTCATGAGAAGGGACATGCAATGGAACAAAAGGCAGTAGCAGACACAGCCCTGAGATGTGAAGCTGTGTCCTTCACTGGCAGCCTATGTCTGGGACTCTCTCCTCATTTTTTCCCTCCATTCAGAAGCAAATTCACCCTGATAAACTCATTTGTGTGTGTTACCTCCTTCCCCTGCCACACACACTCACACACACTCTCTCACTCTCTCACACTCACTCATTTTCTACTTTTTTTTTTTTAATCTGCTAAGTCTTTATGTTTTTCTAATAATTGGCAGCAGAGGTACAATTTCTCCCCTCTTTTAAGTGATGAATAGTTGGCCTGAGATCAAAGCCAGGCCCTTGTGGTTTTTTGGCTGCCACAAAAGGGCGTTGGGGCTGGCGCGGGGCCGGCGCTCGGCGATAGGCATGTGGGTGAGGTGCCAAGCCGAGGGGTCGGTGGCAAAGTGTCTGCACACGTTCCTCCTCTGAGCTAATCCGGTTGTCTCCTGTGTGTGTTCCAGGCCAGCAACAGATTGAAGCAGACTGAGAAGGAGTACAGTCAGAAACTGGCTAGATCCTCGCAGGTAGGTGGTGAGAAGACAGGAGCCTCCAGTGAGTCTGTTGGGTTTGGAGACTTGGTGAGAAGTGGGATTACTTCTGCTCTAAAGTGTGGGTCTTGACAACCAGGATCACAGGATATGCCAAGTTGGAAGGGACCCACAAGGATCATCGAGTCCAACTCCTGGCCCTGCACAGGACCATCCCCAAGTGTCACACCCTGTGCCCCAGAGGATCATCCAAACCCTCCTGGAGCTCTGGCAGCCTTGGGGCTGTGCCCACTGCCCTGGGGAGCCTGTTCAGTGCCAACCACCCTCTGGGGGAAGGACCTTTTTGTAATCTCTAACCCTAAACCAAGAGAATCCTTAACTGTATCCCAGTTTCCATCCAGTGTCCTTCTTGCAGATTTTAACCTTTCAAAACCCACAAAGCTTAAAGCTGACTAGAAAAAAAGCAGGTGGGGTCTTTCTGAGTTCTAAATTTCATCTTTCTGACCTACTTTTTCATCTCCTGGGGACCCAAGAGGACTGAGTCCTCCTTCAGTCACTGGGAAGGGAAGGTGAGATGTTCCATCAACCAGCACATCTCACAGAACCAGGAGCAGCTGCACAACCAGGACTTGCACTTCATATTAAAGGTGGTGTCACGTGGGCAGTCAGCGGTGGCACGACAGCCCCAACCCTGTCATCTTCATCTTTATCATTGCTCCTCACCAGTTCTGCTTTTCTGCCCCAAAAAAACACCTTGAGGAATGTCAGTGTCCTAAAAGCAAACTGGTTTTGACTTGAATTTTTGTTCTTCAGAGTAGCATTTGAACACGGAAGATGAAAATGTGTGTTGAATTTACTTATGTACTTTAAAAATGGTAAGACGGGATTATTTTTAAATATTTCACCTTTCAGTTTGACTGACAGGTAGTGCTGAGGTGTGAAAAACGATGGAGATGCAACCAGAAGTTAAGCTTTTAATAATAAGAAAATTGCCACGAGGATTTGTGAGGAGGTGTCATTCTCCTCATTCCTCCCAGCCACAGCTCAGCGTCTGCCTGGGTTTGAAAACTCTCTTTTCAGCCAATAGTCTAATAATACTCTTTTAAAGTCAATAAAAACACTACAAAGAAGGGTTTAGCAGCCTCTAAACTAGACAGAAGTGACCACTGAGACAATAACAAGAAACTGCAAACTTTACTGTGTTACCAACACTTTAAAATGTTTCAGAACTCATTTTCAACTCCTTTGAGTCTCGTTCGCCGAGACACTTTTCCAGAATTCTTTTGGTGACATTTATTGGACTGTTACTTTTTCACACTGCATTTTTTGACACTGCATTTATCAGACTCGTTGCTAAATATGTCTTACATTACATTTCTGAAACCTAATATGTATTTTCTACACATTTATTTGGATGCAGAGAGGTTGTGGGGTCTCCATCCCTGGACATACTTTAACCTGACTTGGCATGGTACTGAGGAACCAGCTCTGAGTGATCCTGGTCTGAACTGGTCCATTCCACCCACACCAATTCCATAATTTTGTGGTAAATCAGAGAGAATGCTCTCTCTCCTAAATGCCTTTTAGTGATTTTTGAGAGCCTTGTTTATAAAGAAAGAAATAAGAACAAAACTTCTATTATTTTATCTTTCTGTCTAAACCTGAATATCAGGAAATGGATAATGTCAATACAAAAATGGCTCCTGGTCCATTCCTTAAAGACAGCTGGAACAATTTGAGCACTTCTGAATTTTTTTAAACAAGAGATGAGGGAAATTGCTTTAATTGTTGCAGTGGGAACACCAAGGTGGTGCAGTGCGAGGTAAGAACTCTTTAACCTAAATGTCAGGATAAATTCTGTCAGACTGAAATTTATTGGCCTGGAGAATAGCCTCTGAATGGAAAAATCTGGGGACATGTTTTTTATTAAGGAGGGCATTGCTGTAACTCACACCCTTCACTGGGGAGAGCTGGACCCGTGACCAGATCCTTGGCACTTTCTGGGGCAGACACAACACATACATCATCTGTCAGGGCTGTTTGGCACCACAAAGCAGTTTCACCCTGATGTCTGAATCTCTGTAGTTTTCTGGATTTAAGTCAAATCCCTGAAGTTACTTGAACATAGTTGGGTTTGGATTGGGTTTTTTTTTTGTAGCTCACTATTAATAATAGGTCAATCACAATGTTTCTTGTGGTCGTGTTGCTGACAACATCTGTCTAATCTTACTCTCTGTGGCCTCTTGGAACATTCACTTTTAACACCCACACAGAGAAGAGATTTCAAGAAATTTCCTCTGAAGTTTATACAAAATAAATAGATTTTTTAAAAAAAAAAATTTTTTTTTTTGCTCTGAAAAGCACTGCACAAAGCAGATCTTTCTTCATCAATTCATGCTGAAATTTCCTTGCCTGTATTTCAGAGCTCCTGTGCTAGCCCCGGGGTCTTAACCCAGGAAAAGCTTTAAATCCCACGTTTGTGTTATATTGAAGGGTTTGTTGTTTTGTTTTCTTTTGAAAAGGTGACAATGTGGGAACAATACAAAGCACTATAGGTTTTCATGTTTAGGGTGTATTATTTTTTTTTATCTGTGTTTGTTTTTGGAAAAGAACTATCTCATAATCTGTGTTATTCCCTGAGATTTCTCTGGTAGCAAACAAAGAAATAAATTTACCAACAGGTTTTAATCAGTCCTTTTCCCCTTTCTCAAGGATTCCTGTATCTTCATTTGTAGCACATTTCATATTGTATTAGTCCTGGCCTGTTAGTCGTGTTTTAGAACTATTTTTTTCCTAGATAATCATGTAATTAGTATAGTTAAGTGGTTCTCTTCCAGTGAGGAGGCCTGGCAAATACAGAGTCTAAGCACTCTGGTAGTCCCTCCCTGAACTGCCCCTGTGCTAAAGTGCTTTTAGAATTAGACTGCATTATGCTGCTACAGCAGCTTAACCTTCAGCTTGAATATGTACATTAAAGTCAGTGACTCTCCTGCATGTTTAAGTGCTTTGCTGGGTGCTGACATGTCAGTATAAAATTCTGTAAATATGCCTAAAGGATCAGGTTTAGTTATGTCCTTCCCCAGTGATGAAAAAGGTGGAACAAGTACAATTCAACAAATCATCAGTGAATCACATAAAAGGTCCCATTTAAGGGTCCTGGACGTGGAATCCCCACTGCATTGTTAAGCAGAAACTGCTCCTTTCAGCAGCTCAGAAATTTCACTATCACGTTCAGATTTCAACCCAGTATGTAAATGTGGGCGTTTTTCTCCTCAGCAATATCAGGCTGTAAAACATCCTCCTGGAAAACGAGCTCACCGTGGCTGTGTAAACTCTCCCTCCTGGTCTCGGAGCAGGGAACAGGCTGGGTTTTAAAGATCACAGATGCGCTTTGTTCTCACGAGTAAATATTTTGGAATGTCACAGTGGAAAACCCTTCCAAATATTTTGCGTTCAGCAATTTTTTTGTCACTTACAGCCTCGCTGTATTCCTCCTCTCCGCGTGGAATTCCGTGCCTGCGAGCGCGCGATATGGTAATTTGGGATGTTTAGCTTGCACAGCAGAGTTTGCCAGCGCCACGTTCCTACCAGGCATAAAAACATGCAAAATGTGTGCCTTTCACTGATGGGAGATTTCACCTGCTGTTTTCTTTTTAGGTCATAGCCGAACTTAAGACAACCATTTCCTCCCTGACAGAGGAGCGCAGCCGGCAGCAGCTCGTGGCGGAGCAGCGGCTCCAGGAAGTCATACAGAAGTTGGAAGATGAGAAGCAGCAGCTGATGACGGATAATGACAGAGCAATCAAGGTAATCTGGGGGTTTTAGTCCCTGATTCTGCTGGCTGGGGGAGTGTAGTGAAAAGTTCTGCAGCGGGCAGATGAGTGCAGGTGATCAGCCCAGGCACCGGACCTGGACTTTGATGTAGCTGATGACTCAGGCTTCCCTTTCCTCCAGCTGATCCTGGGCATAAAACACGTGGATTGGGCAAATCTAATCCAGCCACTTCAGTCAAATACTTAAGTCTTTCCTGTTCTCTTTCTTTTAATATTGACTCTGATGTTTTAGCATATTTTCATCACCTTTAAACGGTGTTTTGAGGACTTAAAGAAATACAGGTGAGGCAGCAGCGTGGCATGAGCTTAGCTTGGTTTTCACATTCTCAACTCTCATATTTAAGGCTGCAGAGAAAGAAAGGATGTTCTTAGCTTCCATTGAAAACTATATACAAAATCTGTGCTAAATGTCAGTGCCATAAAGTATTTGTTACTTGTATTTTTGTTAGATTTCTACATATTCTGCATCAGAATTGCATTCTTGGACCTTTTTCAACTCTTTTAAAGAGACTGCTGGGTCTGAATAGCCAGAGTCTGTTCTTGCTGTTTGGACACCTTGATTCAAAGTGGCTGCAGAGAATCCTAGGAACAGTTTCTAAACATCTTTCTTTTCACAATAGTAAAAGCAATGGAAAAGTTTGGACACAAGCAATCTGCTCAGGCTGACAACAAAAACACCTCATGAAAAGTTGTATGGAAGAAGAGAATTACCTCCTGCCCTTGACAGTGGAAATCATCTTCCACAGAGTCAAAAATGTGCTGTAATTTAAGTTATCACTGGTACCTTCTTGAGTTACACATTTGAAAAACATTCACCAGCTTTTTGTCTTCTGCTGCAAATTCTACTGTTGAATTTGTGGATTCACTTTAAACTAAGTTACATTCAGTGGAAATAATTCAGCTGTTGGTAACACCAGTGCTTGAACACTAATGATTTTAGGTTGTATGAAATCCATCTCCATGTAAATCAACCATTATAAACCTAATTTTGATGTTATTACCTCTCAATGTAATGAAATCCATAAACCCACAGGGCAGCTCTGCACAGGGTTTCTGAGCAGTGTCCCAGAGTTTTTAGGACTGATGCTGGGAGTATGTTTGGTAAGATTTTGTCAACTTGGGGAAGAAATTGGAGGAGCTGTTTTGTTTGGAGTTCTTGAACTTGGTTTAGTATCATTAATACTGTACTGTAAAAAAAAAAAAAAAAAAGAAATCTTCCTTTGAAACCAGTGATTTAATGGAAATTTACTGAAATCCAGATACCCAAACACAAAATTCTTAGGAAGGTAAACTGTGTATTTTTAAGAACCACACATATTTCTAGACAAGCATATGCAGAAATACTTTGCTTTTTATTAGCCTGAGGCAAAAAAAAAAAAAAAAAAAAAAGGAGAGATTTTGGTGCAAGTGGAATCCTGGATGTCCTGGAGATGAGAAATAACATCTAACCCAGGGTAAGCTGAAGACCTCAAGGGATGATTAAAGTAACATTCTAAAAACAAAGCATTTCTTAATATAATGTAAACCTTTGAGGAGACTCGATGTAGTATAAGCTATTGAAAATACTGTCATTAAAAAACAGGCATTTGCTTAATATAACATTGATTTAAACTAACATTGAGGAACAGATTGCAATTTCCTCTATTGGTATTGGGTGGCTTCCTGTAAGACCTTCCAATTATTATTTCCTTTCAAAGGGAGAAATGCATTTTTACAGAAACCAATTGGCTCTCAGAGAAGTTTTGGATTTAGGCAGTAAAGTGATATCCAGATGTGGATGCCATAATACATGATTTTGATGTTAATTCAAATTCCTGACTCTCTTTGCTAGTTAAAGGTTTCTGAGATGTTATTATTGCACAATTGTATCCATCTCCTTCATCTTGCTGTATTTTTTTAAGCAGTATCTCAAATACTAGTCCAAAAGAGCAAATTAAACTTTTAAGGACATTTTGCTTCTTTGGACAACCTGAAATCCCCAATCTGACAACACTTTTTGGCTTTGGGCGGCCTCAGTTTGGGTCAGTTTGAGACCCACAGTTAAAGGCCTTGGCACTCTCTGTTAGACCATGGTTAGTCTGGCCTAAGGGCAAGTCAAACTTGTCATCACTCCTGAAATCAGGATAATATTTTGGCCCCTCACATTCCTTTCTCCTGGCTTTGAAGGTGTCCACTTTGCCGTGGAGTTGCGAAGTCTCGTGGCAGAGCTCGAAGTAAACAGTGGGCTGTGTGATCCCAAAAGCTCAGCTTTTCCTTCACTGCCAGGGAAATGTCTTTGCTTTGAACTTGCCAGGAGTTGCATCCTGTGGAGCAGAGCCCAAGGACACTGCAGATGGGGCTGGGAAGGGACAAATCCAGCCCAGCTCACCTAGTCCTTGTGCTGTGCCTCACCTGGGGTGTGCACACACCTCAGACGTCAGGAACCATTGGTCTGGACCGTGGGGTTAGTGAGGAGCAGAGCTGTATTAATGCCCTGCAGATGTTTGGTCAAAAGCTGCTCAAATTGCCACGTCTGTTCTCCCATTTGTGATGCTCCAGGCTGGGATTGCAGGAGGAACCCTCGGGTTGGGTTGGGTGCTGAACTCCTGGCAGGGTCTGCAGGAGCCTCGCTGGTCACTGCAGTGTGGGGGACACTTCTGAAGGCTGAATTTAAATTAGGTTTCTGGCACCCCAGTAGTGATCTACCCACAACAACCTGGAGCTTGATGCGCCCAAACAATCGGGGAATTTGTCCAGCTTCTCTGCTGCTTTTGGTTACTGGTTGGACTGGGCACCAGCGTGAAGTTTATGGCATTGTAGAGATACCTTGGGGTTATTTATGAAATCCCAGCCTGAGTTGTTTGGGGTTTTTGTGTGAAATCCTTTTGGATTCTGGGATTGAAAGCACAAAACAGTTCCTGGGATTGGAACTGCAAAACATGTTCAGAGCATTTTAGTGTTGAAGTTCATGGCCAAGTGGGGACTCCACATCAAAAAGTAGATTCTGGAAAGAAACGGGTGATGGAGAACATAAAGTGACAAACCCACAATAGAAAAGGGGGAAAATGATGCTTTTTTTGCCAGATGAACCGCATTTGTTGTTTGGTTCCTATTACAGATTCTAGAATTCTGTTATATCCCAGAATTAACACCAAAATTTCATTAGCAAAACGTGGTTGGAAGATGACATATTTCAACACTGTGTTTGTCAGCCAGCTTATGATCTGATTAATTCTGTTAATAAATAAGACTTAAAAGATTTCTAGGAAAGAATGTCCTATAATATTGTTCCCCTTCATGTGAAAAATTTTCAAACAGTGGCTTTGCTTTGTAATGTTGAGGGGGGGGAAAAAAGTCGAAGTGCATTTTATAGCCATAGCAGAACAAAGGAGAAAACTTCTGGTTTTAGGTTGCCTGGGCCTACGTGGGCATTGAGTGTTCTTAACATCCTCATATATTTCTGTTCTAACGAGGCTGTTGTATCTTGGAGGAAAAGGATAATTTCCTCCCTGCAAAGTACTGAGGGTTTTATCAACATAGAGAATTTCCTCCCTGCAACTGTAAAAAATACTCCTCTTCTAGAGCTGGGCTCAAGTCAGTCCACGTGTGGGGCACTGGATTTTCTTTTATTCTGGAAAACTCTTTCCATGGGGGGGGGTTTACACTGATAGCCCTCTATTTGGGATGTCACTCAGTGACTGTGGGGTCTCTTGGGTCCCCAGCCCACCTCTCTGCTCTCCCTGTCCTTCCTGTTTGATTTGCCTGATCCCCCCTCCCATCCATGTTTGCTTCTTTCTAAAAGTAAAACAAATAATTGCAAACCTTGGGATGTTGTAAAGCATTCAGAACATTTCTTAAGGGGCACCTGATATCTTTGTTTCCAGAAAGTAGCTGTCAAAATATACTGAAGGTATTTACAAATGTTTCTGTGAGAAAAACTGTGTTTTTAAAAAGTCAGAGAACAAGCTAATTTTGCATGTTGTTGTATTTTACTATCAGCCATGTTTATTAGCAAATTCCACTTGTAACTACAAATAATATTTTGTATTAAAAGGCCCATCAGAGCTATGGGAACATTACCTGAGTGACTGCAGCTCTGCAGAGGAATTCAGTCTTCCAAAAACACCTTCTGGAACACCAGCACTGCACTCTGCAAGAGTCAGTGTTGAGATTAGTAAGAAATAGATAATTCTCATTTATTGGTTTCAAAGTCCCAAGCAAAGGTAAATCTCAGGGGTTTAGATGCCCTTATTAGTGATTATTAAGGGGGGAGATGCATCAGGGAGCTCACAACCATGACCTGACCTAGACATGAAGCATTTTTGGTCCTGTCTTACAAGTGAAACAGTGGAGGGTAAAACCTTGACTTGGTCCAAGGTTTGTGGCAAAGATGGGAATTGTGGAACTGATATCACAGAGGTCATTAATTAGGGGGGAAAATAACCCTAAAAGCTTGGTGCAAACTGTAAATGAAAACCTAAAACTTAGGGTAAAGTGAACAGAGAGGTTGTTTCCAGGACACTTTGTTAAGAGAGTCCTGACTTGTTCTATTCCCCAGGATACACTGAGAATTAACTACTACACCCTAGAATACTGTTGAATAGCTGCAGAGTAAACTTTTGTCAATAAACCCCACATTATTTGCAAGCTTTTTTAAAATATTCTACTGCCTTTTTTTTTTATTATTATTATTTTAACTTTGATGGAGGTCTTATTTTCTTTTTAGCTAGCAGTGCCTGTAAAAAAGGAGGTCAGCATTTCACTGCTGGCACTGACTCATGTCTTGTAAGACATCTGGTCAGAACATGCATCACTGCTGGTGATGGTTGGATGGCCACAGACGTGCCAAATTCTGTCAGTCACCGAAGGGCCTCGAAGACGTGTGTGTGTCACAAAGCTCTCCAGAGGGGCCTCAAATCCTTCTAATTGCTTTTGTGGCCAAACATTACCAGGATAAACCACTTGGCATGGTGGAGTAAAGTGTTGTAAGGGACC